AATGAGCATATGTAACTTCTTGCAGTAAGGTAAAACTAACCTATTAAAAGTTCCTTTTATTTTTAAAAAAAAACATATGGACAAAGACTAAGCAACATAGTCAATGTGGTAACTGTAATTTACATACATACATACATACATATTAAAGTTTGCATTCTGCAAAAATTACTTATTTATGAATATGACCATTTTTATGCCATACATTTAAAACGTCAATACTTCCAAAATATGAAAAATGTGCATCCCCAAATTGTAATTGAATAAAATAAGAAATGACAAAATCAAAATATTAAAAGGCCCTCCCATTTTGAAAAATAAATTCATCTTTAGGCCCCAGTGACTGAGCCCCCGCCGAGGACTCAGCCACCTGCCCCTCAGGCCCCTCGCTTTCACACACTGAGTCCCCCATGCCCCCGCTTCCTGCCCCTACTCCCGCCCCCCAGGCCCCAGCAGCCATTTCTGCGGAACCTGAGGGATGTCTGCCACCCAGAACCGCCACTCTTACCCCTTTGCTGACGCAAGTCCGGTGCCCATCTGCTTCCTGCGGACGGACGCTGAGGGTTGTATCAATGCAAGAATCTGACAGAGAAGCGGGTCCAAGGGCTCGCTGGTGATTGGAGGAAGAAACTGGTGAGGTCCTCAGAGACTGTGCCTGCTCCGGAGGCTGCACCGGAGGCTGTGCCTGCACAGGAGCCTGCACGGGGGCTGTGCCTGCACCGGGGCTCTGTCTGCACAGGGGGCTGTGCCTGCACCGGGGGCTGTGCCTGCACCGGGGCTGTGCCTGCACTGGGGGCTATGCCTGCACAGGAGCCTGCACCGGAGGCTGTGCCTGCACCGGGGCTGTGCCTGCACCGGGGGCTGTGCCTGCACTGGGGGCTGTGCCTGCACTGGGGGCTGTGCCTGCACCGGGGCTGTGCCTGCACAGGAGCCTGCACCGGGGACTGTGCCTGCACTGGGGGCTGTGCCTGCACCGGAGGCTGTGCCTGCACCGGAGGCTGTGCCTGCACTGGGGCTATGCCTGCACAGGAGCCTGCACCGGAGGCTGTGCCTGCACCGGAGGCTGTGCCTGCACTGGAGGCTGTGCCTGCACCGGGGGCTGTGCCTGCACTGGGGGCTGTGCCTGCACCGGGGACTGTGCCTGCACTGGGGGCTGTGTCTGTACCGGGGGCTGTGCCTGTACCGGGGACTGTGCCTGCACTGGGGGCTGTGCCTGTACTGGGGACTGTGCCTGCACCGGAGGCTGGGCTTGCACCAGGGCTCTGTCTGCACTGGGGGCTGTGCTTGCACCGGGGGCTGTGCCTGCACCGGGGCTGGGCCTGCACCGGGGGCTGTGCCTGCACCGGAGGCTGGGCCTGCACCGGAGGCTGTGCCTGCACCGGGGGCTGTGCCTGCACTGGGGGCTGTGCCTGCACTGGGGGCTGTGCCTGCACCGGGGCTGTGCCTGCACTGGGGCTGTGCCTGCACAGGAGCCTGCACCGGAGGCTGTGCCTGCACCGGGGCTGTGCCTGCACTGGGGGCTGTGCCTGCACCGGGGACTGTGCCTGCACCGGAGGCTGGGCCTGCACCGGAGGCTGTCCTCGGGCTTCCAGAAGGCAGACATCGGGGCAGCGGCGGGCGGCCAGCGCAGGAACAGAGGCCGGGCTCCGGAGACCGGGGGTGCGGAGTAGCCCAGCCCCCGAAGGTTCGCGGGTTGAGTGCTTGGGCTCACTGAGGCGACATGAGGGTTTCTCTGCCATGAGTACCTTTCTCTTCCGCCCTTGTCTCAGGTCTGAAGCCTCGGGGCGTGTTGGTGTAGCCGCCCGGGGTCCGCTTCTCCCTGGACCAGGGTGACCCCTCCGTTCGGGGAAGGGAAAGAGCCATGCCGTCTCGTCTCGGAGTCCCCATTTCCACCAGGTCAATACCGTGATGTCTCCGCAGGCGCTGCCTGGCCAGAGCTCCCGCCCGGAGCCCCTGCCCCCGGGAAGGCGCCGAGCGGCTCTGGGGCTGAGAGAGGCCCCGGCCTCCGGGCGCCTGGCCGGTGGGCAGCCTGGAGCAGCCGGCCCCTCCTCCGGGCGGTGAGCTGAGCGCCCGGCTTGGCACCACGGTCAGTTAGCGAGGATATATCCTGGCTGATTGTTGTCGGAACACCATCATTTGAGGCCAACCTTCTATCAGTTAAACTTTTGACAAGGCATAGATTTCAAACTGATGTCCGTCCCGTAGCTAACTGAAGAGCTCGCACCTTTCCAGTGACAGCTGCCCGATGCCATGTGAAGTAACAAACTAATTTTTGGAGTGTTTTTTCCCCTCCTTCACTTTTAATGTTACATAATGTATTTAAGCCGTTATTTAAATAAAACTTGTTTTCAGAAATAAAACAAAAAAAATCATCTTTAGATAACTTAATTTCAATCAAAAACTTATCAAAATTATGAAAGCATTTTATGTCCAAGACTATGAAATACAATAAACTACTAAGAGAATAATATTTATATGCTTGTTTAAATAAATGAATATATAAAATAAACAATTTAAACACATGATTCAGAAAAACTCAAAATAAATGGAAGAAAAGCATATAAAAGTCTGAGTAGACAACAATTGCATAGATTAACAAGTAAAATTATAAAGTCAGCTAACCAACAACTAAGTCAAAACAACTACAGCTTTGTAAAATTAAAGAAATATCTAAACCTATTATTTCAAAGGGAGAGAATAGAAATGCATTGAAAGAATAGTTGAGAAATGCAAATTACTTGACTTAGTTTCTGCAAATAAAATTAAAATATTTAATAGAACTGATAATTTTCTAGCTATTATATATGTCTTGGCTATTGTAAATAATGCTGCTATGGACATGAGTTGCATATATAATTTTGAGTTGATGTTTTTGTTTCCTTTGGATAAATACCCTGAAGCAGAATTGCAAGATCATATGGTAGTTCTATTTTTCTATATTTATCTTATACAGATCTCCCATGGTGGCTGCACCAATTTACAATCCAACAACAGTACACAGTGTTCTCTTTTTTCCACATCTTCACTAGTATTATATTAACTCTTGTCTTTTCTTGTCTTTTTTTTTCTTTTTCTTTTTCTTTTTTATGATAGCCACTAGGGCCCGGTGCACAAGATTTGTGCATGAGATTAGGGGTGTCCCTCAGCCCAGCCTGCACCCTCTCCAATCCGGGATCCCTCTCACAATCCAGGACTGCTGGCTCCCAACTACTTGCCTGCCTGCCTTCCTGATTGCCCTTTAACTGCTTCTGCCTGCCAGCCTGATCACCCCCTAACCACTCCCATGCCAGCCTGATTGATGTCTAACTGCCCCCCTGCCAGCCTGTTTGCCCCCAGCCTGTGGCCTGGTCACCCCTAACTTCCCTCCCCTGCAGGGTTGATTGCCCCCAACTGCCCTCCCATGCTGGCCATCTTGTGGTGGCCATCTTGTGTCCACATGGGGGCAGATGTTTGACCACATGGGGGCAGCTATCTTGATCTTGTATATTGGAGTGATGGTCAATCTGCATATTAATCTTTTATTAAATAGGACAAAAGCCTGGTGCACGGGTGGGGGCCAGCTGGTTAGCCCTGAAGGGTGTCCTGGATCAGGATGGAGGTTCCCTTGGGGCGTGGGGCAGCCTGAGTGAGGGGCCTGTGGTGGTTTCCAGGCCAGCCACACACACACACACACACACACACACACCGTGACACAAGTGGAGGCCCTAGTATAGGGGTGTCGAACTCAATCAGAGAAGGGGCCAAAATCTAAAATCCAGCCTAAATCGCGGGCCAAATGGTTTACTGAACAGTCATAAACTGTCATTGTGATGGAAACGCAGCGGAGTGCAGTGATGACAGCGCGGTGCGGGCCACATTGCAAGGCCTGGCGGGACGGATTTGGCCCGCGGGCCTTGTGTTTGACACATGTGCCCTAGTATCTTGGGTTTATTTACCTTCTACAATTGGAACTTTGTAGCCTGGAGCACAGCCAAGCCTTTTGCTTGCTCTGTGGCAGCAGCCATTTCTGTTGGGATTTATGTATCTTCTATAATTGAAACTTTGTAGCCTTAAGCAGAGGCCTGGGCCAGCCAGGGTGTGCGGAAAGCTTGGCTCCATTTCCAGGGAAACCCAAGCCTGCTACTCGCTCCATGGCTGCAGCCATCTTGGTTGGGTTAATTTGCATACTCGCTCCTAATTGGCTGGTGGGAATGGCTTGTGAATATAGTGGAGTGGTGGTTAATTTGCATATTACTCTTTTATTAGATAGTATAGGATAGGATTCTAACAGGTGTGAAGTGATGTCTTATGGTTTTTATTTGCATTTCCCTTTTTATGTACCTATTGGCCACCTAATAACATTGTTTTTTGGAAAATGTCTATTCAGAGCCTGTGCCCAATTTTCATTCAGATTGTTTGGGGAGAGGTTGCTATTGAGTTGTATGAGTTCTTTATAGATTTTAAATATTAACTTGTTATCAGATATATGACTTAGAAATATTTTCTCCCACTTAATAGGTTGCTCTTTCTTTCTTTCTTTTCCCTCTCATTTTATTGATGATTTCCTTTTCCTTTGCTGTGCAGAAGTTGATGTAGTTTAACTTGTTTATTTTTGTATTCTTTATATATAAAAAGATATACCTAATAAATATCTTATCATTCTTATCTGTGGGAAGATTAGCCTGGGATAGAAGTTACTTGGCCAATGTTGGAAGTGAAGTTCTATACATTATTGTAATTGACTTAATAGAATGGCTTTGCCTAATGATATCTGAATAGGCGACTTCCTAACAAAAATCTCTGTTGGGTATATATTAGTACACAAAAGATATATGTTGAACATTTCAATTAGGAATGTTAGTATGACATTTTACACAGTAAAATAATCTTTAAACAAGAGCTCTGTGGGTATCGAAGCTTCTCTACAGCATGGGCTCAGGTTTTTTAGCTCAAATATGTAAACTGTATGCTCAGTGGAACAGTTAACTTGGATTTTTTTGCTTATTATTGCCATCTTAATTCAGGTTAGGTCAAGAATTGGCTATTGTCCTCAGTCTAACCCTCTGCTTAACCACATGACGGGCCGGGAATTGCTGAGCATGTATGCCAGGCTGCAGGGGGTGCCTGAGACAAATATTTGCAAGTATGTAGAAATCTTTTTGTATTCAATGAATCTAGAAATTCAAGCGGACAACTTTGTCTACATATACAGGTGAGATATTATGTTGTTGCAAGTATTCTGCCTGCCTGTGTTTCTACTGTTTAGAGCTTGCTAACTCAAACTGATCCCTCTGTCACACAGAGGCAACGAGTCTGAATGGCCTCATGTCTTGTCAGGGTTCTAATGTCAGGAATAAGGCAGATAAAGTTAACCTTTGGTGGAGATGAGCCATAGTCTTTGCATTTAAAAAAAAAAAAAAAAAAAAGAGCGCATTCATCCCTATCTCCCTATGGTTCTTTATCTTCTGAAACAAAAATATTACAGCAATAATGATGCCGAAATAAATTACCAGAAATGTCATTTCAATGAAAATGAGTTAATATATACACCTGAATTGGGGCCTGCTGCTTTGTGGTTCATATCAAATCAGCATTCTGGATATGTGTGCTAATTCTGTCTTAGAATTAATGACTTGTGTACCCTTATTTTTTTTTTCTTTCTCTTCCACTTTTTTCTCTCTCGATGATAAAGTGGAGAAAACAAACGTAAATTGAATACTATTGTTGCCCTAATGGGAAAGTCCTCAGTTGTCTTCCTGGATGAGCCGTCTTCTGGCATGGGCCCCATTGCCAGGTGCCAGCTCTGGGACACAATCACATGGATGTGTAAAGCTGGCAAGGCTATCATCATAACTTCCCACAGGTATGACCTACTGGGACGTTTGTTTGGGAGTTAGAATAGTTATAGTATAGTATAGGAGGGAATTAGTTGAAGCCAGAAATATAAGTCAATGAACTTATCTAAGTATATGAGCTATATACATAACAGGAGCTGTGGGTAGAGGCTAATTTGGGCTAAAGTAAAGAATCTTAAATTGAGTTCTGAAATCCAGAATCAACAGAAAGTAGGAAGTAAGGTCTTTCTCTCATGGATTTAGAAATCAACTGCTTTCAATTTTTAAAATCTTCTCTTCCCAAATATGATCTTAGTGGTGATGTTCTGCAATACCAAGCTTTCCTACTGCAAATATTAACTTATAGTCTTAGCCCTGTTTTGAAATACTGAACTCATCCTCTAAAATCAGTGTCTTCAGCCAAATATTCTTTGTCCCCTAGCATGGAAGAATGTGAGGCCCTTTGTACCAGGCTGGCCATCATGGTAAACGGGAGGTTCAAGTTCCTTGACAGTCCTCAGCAACTCAAGAACAGGTTTAGTAATATATACACTCTGACAGTAAAGATTAAGATTGATAAGAATGAAAATAAACAAAAGGAGTTCAAAGAATTTATTGCAACAACTTTCCCAGGTAATGTAGATAGGGCTGACTTGTTATAGCTGTGTTAAGGCATATCCTATGTTAAAAAAAAAAAATTTTTTTTTAAAAGCCTAATAAGCTAAGTGTCTAGTCATCTGGTCAGCCGTTCAACCAATCAAAGTGTAATAAGCTAATGATATTATAAGGCCGCTCAACCACTCGCTATGACATGCACTGACCACCAGGGGACAGACGCTCCAACCGATAAGTTAGCTTGCTGCTGGGGTCCAACCTATAGGGACTGAGTAAGATGGGCTGGACATGACCTGGAGCTCTCCAGGAGTCCCTCCTGGCTGGCCAACCCCTTGTGTCATTTCTCAGCCTCAACTGTGCACCAGTGGGGTCCCTCAGCCTGGCCTGCACCTTCTCACAATCTGGGCTGAGGGACCCCACCTCCCACCCCACCAAGTGCACGAATTTTGTGCACTGAGCCTCTAGTATATGATAAAAATAAATGAAGTACAGCTTTACACAACATGAATGAGAGAAAACATAAAAATAGTACATACTATGTTTTTGCATTTATATGAAGTACAAAAATGCAAAGCCAAACTATAGGTTTCAGGGTTTCATATCTAGGTAATCTCTCTCTCCTTCCCTCTCCACCTCTCTCTCTCTCTCTCTCTCTCTCTCTCTCTCTCTCTCTCTCTCTCTCTCTCTCTCTCCATATATATATATATATATATATATATATATATATATATATATATATAAAAGGCTAATATGCTAAGTGTCCCTCCTACCATCTGACTGGTCGCTATGACGCACACTTCCTGCCAGGGGCAGGTGCTCAACACAGGAGCTACCATGACACGCACTGGCTGGCAAACCAACACATGGCTTCCCCCAAGTGGGACACAGGCTCCACCACCAGTCCAGAGTGACAACCCACCAAATCACAGCCATGCTGCCAAGACCCCATAGTACAAAATGCAGCCCGCATCCCATCCCAGCCAAGCCCAGAAACGGTCTCTGCGGGCTCCAGGTAATGACTATTCTTGCTCAGTATACATGTCTCTGGACCCATGCTGCACCATGGTGCTGACTGGTCTGATAGTAGGGCAGAAGGAGAATTTGTGCTATTTTTGTTTTTGCTAAGTATTATAATATTAATTATAGTATTAATTGTTTGTGCCATTGCTTTAATTTCTCCAGTATGAACTTCTCCCTAAAATTAGTCCCATCATGCCCTCGGGAAGGGGACCATACATCCCTATGGCAATAGCTTGAGGCCCCATCTCCGGGGTTAGCACAAGGTCCAATCCTGTGCTTCCCAGGGTGGCAAGGAAAAGATTTCGACTGAGTCAGCTGGAAAGGCTGAAGTGGGTCAAAGATAAAGCCCCCTCTACCTGGTGGGGCGGGGCTGGCCCCACTGGATCAGGAGTCCCAATCAAATCAGCCCCATCCTCACCTTCTTCAGCCACCGCTGCATGGTGTAAGTGAGCAGACCTCCAGCTCCACGTCCACTGTCTCACACAGACCCAAGTCCCAGGGAGCTATCAGGTCACACAGGAAGAAATAACCAAAGCCCAGAGACAACGCAACTGCTGCAAGAGCTTACCATCTAGGCCCACTTCTGTGTCAGAAGTAAAAGTTACTTCCTCAAACAACACCAACCACAGCCACTTTGTGCTTTGCCGTACATTAACAAATCCTAAGAGATTTCTACCTTACTTTGTACCTCCTATTTTCTAGCTCCTATTTCTTTATCTTCTATCCTATAATTTCTATTCTATTTTCTACCTCTTATCTATCTTATTTTCTACCTTTTTTTCTACCTTAGTTTTTACCTCTATCAATGACCTGTTAACTATAGGTAGGCTTGGCGGCCCTTGCCCAAACCTCCCTTGTTGCAACCCCCATAAATTCCACACCTTAACCCAGCAGTTCTCAACCTGTGAATTGTGACCCCTTTGGGGCCAAATGACCCTTTCACAGGGGTCGCCTAAGACATCCTGGATATCAGATATTTACATTACAAGTCATAACAGTAGCAAAATTACAGTTATGAAGTAGCAATTTTATGGTTGGGGGTCACCACAACATGAGGAACTGTATTAAAGTGTGGAAGCATTAGGAAGGTTGAAAACCACTGCCTTAACTGAACCCTCAAAACCCCATGAAAAGAGAAAATCAAGATGGCGGCATAGGAAAACAACTAATCTGCCACCTCGCACAACAATTTCAAAACTACAAACTAAAAGACAAAACGTCTATCACCCAGAACCACAGAAAGCTGGATGAAAGAGAAAGGAGCACAGGCACTGAAAAGCTGAAAAGCCTAGGTATGGAGGCATGCGAATCAGGCTGGTAGCGGGCTACTGGGCGGGCGGCGTGGCTTTTTTTCAACCCAAAGGGAAACAAGCTCCCCATCACTTTGAAATCCAGTTTCTGGGGTCATGTGGGGAAAACAGATGCCTCCGGGGAGAAGTTATTCTGTCAGCCATCGGGTCGGAAAGTTAGGGTGACTATTTTGCAGAGGTGCCCGCAGCAATCATTGTTTACTGCCCTGGAGTGCAGGGACACGTGGACTTAGAAACACGAGGACTTGGAAACGCTGAAAGGCAGAGAAGGCTGATGGCAGCCATTTCTGTTTGCCATGCCCCAGCCTAGTGATGTCCTGAGACCCTGCCCCACGCTGAGGCCGCCCCCCTACCTGAGGCCCCACCCTGCACAGTCTACAAACCCATCCTGCCTCACACAGCTGCTTTTGCATATAAGTGCCCTGTATTGTGGCAGCTTAATGAAATAAACTGCAGCTCCAGCTCCAAAACTGACAAATCCCAAGCAAAGAGGAGAAAACTGTACTTCTTGCAGTAGCTCCTGCTGGATGGCCTCAGACAGTGGCTGACCTGCACCCCATTGGAGATCCGGAAACTAGTGTATCTAGTGGTCGGTGTGAGGCGACACCAGATCTCAACTACTCTCATAAGAGACACATTCAAGAGACAGACTCAGTGAGCACCAAAGCCCTACAGGAACAAGTCCTCCCCCATAAACGTGTCTCCAGCACAGCAATTCTTCCATTATAGACACAGTGGGTCCCCACAGCCAATTGGCCAGGAGGTCAATTCCTCCCAGTGACACCAACTACAATCAAGACTTAACTACAACAAGGCTGTACACACAGTCCACAAAGGGGTTCACCAAGAGTGTCCACATCAGGCAACTGGGAGGCTGACCCATTGAACCATATAGGCCCACAAAGCTACTCTACCAACTCAGGGAAGCAGCGAAAATGCCAAGAAATGGAAAGAGATCTCAAACAAAAGAAATGGAGAACAAAAGACTGGCTATAGAGTTCAAAACCATGGTTATAAGGTTTTTCAAGAATTTTTTAGAAAAGGCTGATAAATTTAACGAGACCCTCGAGGCTATGAAAAAGTACCAACTAGAAATTAAACATATACTGACTGAAATTATATATATATATATATATATATATATATATATATATATATATATATATATATTTTACAGACACCCAACTGCAGACTAGAAGAACACAAGAAAAAAGTCAAAGATTTGGAATTCAAAGAGGCAAAAGACACTCTTCCAGAGAAGCAAGAAGAGAAGAGAATCCAAAAAGTTGAAGATAGTGTAAGAAGCTTCTTCAAGCATACCAACATCAGAATGATGGGGGTGCCAGAAGAAGAGAGAGAGCAAGACACTGAAAACCTATTTGAAGAAATAATGACAGAAAACTTCCCCCACCTGGTGAAAGAAATAGACTTACAATTCCAGGAAGCACACAGAACCCCAAGCAAAAGAAATCCAAAGAGGACCACACCAAGATACATCATAATTAAAATGCCAACAGCAACAGACAAAGAGAGAATCTTACAAGCAGCAAGAGAAAAACAGTTAGTTACCTTGAAAGGAGCACCCATAGGATTATCAGCTGATTTCTCAACAGAAACCATGCAGGCCAGGCGGGAATGGCAAGAAATATTCAAGGTGATGAATAGCAAGAACCTACAGCCAAAAATACTCTACTCAGCAAAGCTATCACTCAGAATCGAAGGCCAGTTAAAGAGCTTCACAAATAAAAAAAAAAAGGTAAAGGAATTCATAACCACCAAACCAGAAATTATATGAATTGCTGAAGGGGGTAATTTAGGAAGAGGAAGAAGATAAAGATAAAAATTATGAACAACAAATATGTAACTATCAACAAGTGAATCTAAAAACTAAGGGAATTAAAAAATCTGATGAACAATATTAACTGGTGAATATAATAGAATCAGAGGTACGGAAGGGGAGTGAACTTGACAAAAACTGTGCAACTATGGATGAGGACAATGGGGAGTGGGGAAAGGGCAGAGGGTAGGGTGGGAACCTGGTGGAGGGGAGCATTTGAGGGGGGGGCAAGGAACACATTTGTAATAATCTGATCAATAAAGATTTATTTAAAAAAAATAAAAAAACATGAGGTCCAGTGCCTATGAGCATACAAATTACCAAAATTTTACCTCTACTATCCTCTATGTCTACTTTTCTATTTAACCTGTTTCTATCTCATTTCCTATTTTCTATATTCTATTTCCTATCACTTATTTTCTCTTATTGCTTATTTATTTTTCTATTGCTTCTCCTTAAGAAATTTAAAAATGCTTCACTAAACATTATTTTTAGGGATCCCTTACCATGTTTTACACCAATTTCCCATGTTTTACACCAAGCTACTACTAAACCTCAGCTTCTTACCTTACTTTTGGTTTACTTTTCTACTTCTGCTTTCTGTGCACACCTCACTGAAGCCTTCTTTCACCTCCCAGTTGTAGTTCCCCATATTCAGGCCACATGTGCCGCACCAGCACAGCCAAAGGTAAACCTGAGTTGGCGGGGGATAAGAGGGATGAAGGATTTAGAAAAGACAGACAAGAGAATGAAAGCTGGGTCTTTGTGGGACACTGGTTCTCTGATGGAGAGACAGCGACAGTGCCTGCAATCCAACTCTTTATTCTATATTCATATCCCAAGAGGTAAAGTAAGGGCATGGTCAAGATGTTAACAATGTTCTAATCTACTTAATTGCATGCACCTGCAATCTATCAAGGCCACATCACCAGTCAGCTGGAACCGCAGGTTTGGGCCAGAAGGTCAAGCCTACAGCCATAGCCTTTGCCTATAATTGTGTTGGGAGGCCTTTGCCCTCCAAGCTGGAACTTGCACGTGGCTTTGCCATGAGATGACCGTGCCCTCTTATTAGACCGAGGCTTGAACCTGTCCAAACTCTGTAGCCGCTCTTCACTAAAAGATTCTAACACACACATACACACACACACACACCTGGAAAAAAGAAATCACGCCACAATTTTATGAGTATAGTTTCAGGACAATGTCAAAATTAGGATTCATATACATCATGTTGAGCAAAGTGAGCATGTGAGCTCAGTTTTTCAGTGCCTAAAAGGGATTACCCCAACTCTGCAATATTTACAAACTACAGACACTAAAGCCATATTTCATCACATGGATATAAAGTGATTGAAACACTTAATATACACTTAACAAATGCTAAAAAAAAAAAAAGGCTTTGGAATTGCTATATTTTGTATTAATTGAATGTGATATCTTTTCCACTGGTGTGGACAATTGGAATGGGAATTATTGGGGAATGTTGTAAAACATCAAATATGGAACCCTCCCTGTTACTTACCTTTCAAATCTTTCTTAGGTAACACTGTAAAACAGGAGTATCGAGGAATTATTTACTACCACATTCCCAGAAAGGAAATCTGCTGGGGAAAGGTGATTATCAAAATCATACCAATGTGACATTGCTTGTTAATAGAGGTCTGGCAGGGAGTGTGAGGGTTTAGGCCCATAGAATGGGGACTGGTGTTGCCAGAGAAGAAGAATCTAACATACTTTTCAGTGTCCTCTGTGGTAGGACAGAGACTTCTGACCTAAATTCTGTTATTCCATACCTACCAGAATAAGATGTAACTGCCTCCTCTTCTCTCTGTTTTCCAACCATCTTTTCCATCCTCTTCCTAACTTCCCCCTTCTATATTTTTTTGCCTACAAGTATAAACCTAACAGGAATTGGGGGTGATTGGGTGAGGGAAAGGTTCATCTGGAGATATTGCAATGATAACACCACCATTTTTTCTGTTAAAGGTGTTTAATATTATGGAAAAAGCTAAAGTGCTATTCAATTTAGAAGACTATTATATCAGTCAGATAACTCTGGAACAAGTCTTCCTGGCCATTGCTAATATTGAAAAAGTGGGAGGTGATCAAGAAGTAAAGCTGCTATAAAATCGAGTTCCAATAAATGACCTTTATTTATTTCTTAATCTGCTGCCTGCAACTAAGTACATAGAGGTACCTTTCTCATCTCTTTCTTTTTCCTCCTCCTCTCACTCCTCTTCCTCTCCAGCTCCCCATATTCTATCATGCCCCCTCTCTCTGTGTATGTGTGTAGAGAAATTGAACACCCAAGAAAGTTTGCAATCTTTGGAGATGAAGGTAAAGGACCCCTTGTCAAGATTGATCTGTGAAGGTCCTGAGATCTTACTCTACTTGCAAGTTATCAAATTAGCTTACCAAAGGTCCAAGAACACTGGCATAGGACATTGGAATTCTGTGTCAAACACACGGGACTTTATTACTCACAGACATATTTGTGCCAGTTCCCCAATCTCTAATTTTCACAAGACAACACAAAGAAAGCTACATAGTGCTTGTAAATTCAGTGGGTTGTGTTATAAGAGAGGAACCATGAGCTTGTAAACCTGAATCTTTTATAATGGGCTGTAAGTAAAACTATCTGAGCTTTGCTCTAGAAAGAAACATTCTGACTATACTGAACATTAAGTAAATCTTCCCTTTGGCCTCTTGTCAAAGGTCATTTGCTCTGTAATAATCCTCCTAAAAATAGCCTGAAACAGTTTGTCTTCTGCTTGCAAGTAATACAGAGATGCAAGAGACCTATAAAGAACTGTCTCCCAAAAATACCCACCCCTAGTTTCCATACCATGCAATCTTCCCTCTCCCCTCATTTACTTTTAGATTTATTTCCATTTTATTCATTTTAGGTAGGAGAGACTCCAAGTCCTCCTTAGCAAAGACTAATGATTTAAACTAAAGGGAAAAAATACATATATAAACTAACTTAATTTCCGAGGTATATGGAGGTAATAAACCTAAAGCATAAATTTACCAAGAAGGTGTGGCTGATCCTAATGGGTGTAGAGGGATGAATACCACTTGGTTAAAAGGAAGCTTGAAGCAATACCCATGAGAACTCACATTAGGCATTTTCTTTTGCCCCATTATGCCCTGCTTATGTCCTTATGTCTCTTGCCCCTCCAGGTGATTTCCCTGTGTTGTTTTGTTGTTGTTGTTTTTTGGGGGGGAGGTCTCTCTCTCTCTCTCTCTCTCTCTCTCTCTCTCTCCTCTCTCTCTTTTCCAAGTCCAGCACAGAAAGAGAGATGATCCGGTTCTTCTAGTAGAGGTGGCTGCAAATTGAGAAATATGAAAGAAAGAGACAAGATACAGAGATATGTTAATGAAAAAAAAAGCACACATTGAAACCTGTAAAGAATTTTTTGTGAGTTTATTTGAGCCTAACTGTAGACATATGCCTGGAAGCAAAACCTCAACGGATTGAGATAATGCTCCAGAGAATGGTGGGTTACATTTCTATATTTATACATTGCAATCAAAGGAAAAGGATGTAGGTTAGTTACATGAAATTCATTGGTGATAGATTAGGGAGGTGGGACAAAGCGAAGTGGGGAAACCTCTGGGATAGGGTAAAAGGTGAAATGATGGACATGAGCTTCTTTTACAGAGATGGATACAGAATACTCCAACGTAATTAACAGTTGACAATTAACTTGATAACAATAACAATGAGGAATGTCTCGAGGCCATTTGTTGTGCCCTGAGGGGTTGGGGTAAAAAGGAATACAAGTTACCCAGACATCTCACAGATATGTTATCTCGGATGCAAGAAGGCAGATGGGCTCAGTAAAAGTAGATTAAAGTTGATCTTTGTCAGGTGAAATATCTGGGACATGACTACCTACTATAACCTGTTAGATATTGTTTCGCCCAGACTTCATGATCCCCAAGGACCACCAGGTAGCTGAGTCCGATGCAATGAACAAAAGAGCTTTTTCCATGCTAGCATGGGCTCTGTCCCACTCACGCCGGCAGCATGGAGGAAGAGAGCGCGAATTTCACCCAGTCCAGGGGTTTTACTCCAGTCAGTGGTGATGTCACTGCCTCTGCTAACCCTGATTGCTTGGGTGAGGGCTAGGGTTCAATTACAGAATGAAGGATAACTCGCTCTGCCCTCTCATTCCCCCCTTGTCTAATGTGCCTAGTCAAATCATTGACTCAGCCTACTTCCTTTCAGCATAAACAACAAATACAGTTACCAAGACCCTTAGTACCACAGTTTCCATCAGTATTATCCTCAATGAAGTCCAGTTCCCCTCCTGCAGGCATCAGTTCTCCTCCTGGCCTGTAGTTGCCAGGATCCAGGCCATGCAGGAGCTGGGAGTCATGTAGTCAGGTCTGGGTGCCATCTACTTCAACAGCAGTGGGCGTGCTCAGGATAATAGTGCAGCGTCCCTTTGATTCCTTGGGCAGTAAATTTCTTTACCCACATTGAGTTCCAGGGCTACAGGGTCTGTTGTGGGCACTGGCAGTGCATCTGGAACAAGCAAACTGCAGAGCCTGTAAGGACTTGAGCAAGGGAATGGTTACCATACATGATCCCCTCCCAAAAAAGGGAAAACTTGTCCCAGTAAGGGGTACACCTAGCCCTCAAGAGGGCAAAGGACAGGGGGTTGGTCCAATTTTCACCAATTCTAGGACACATTTAGTTAAACCCCTTTTCCAGAGTCTCACTTACCTGTCCTAAGGCTAGAGCTATACTCTGAGATACCTTGGCTACAAAGGTGGGGCTGTTATCTGATACTGGCAGCCCAAATCGAGGTATAATCTCCTGGAGTAATCTCTTGACTACTATAGAGGCAGTTTCTGTCTTAGTGGGGTATACTTCAACCTAATCTGAAGTGTCTACAAAAACTAGACCTTAATGCTGGTGGTTTAATCTCTGAAATCCACCTACCAATGCTCTCCTGGGGAAGTTCCCTGGACCCGAATTCCCAGGGGGACTCCCTTACCTTGCTTAGCATTTACCTGTGCACAGACAGTACTTCTAGCAACTCTGCCTCACAGAAGTTCAGAAGTCTTGGTGACACTTAAGTGGGTAATCTGGTGTCACTGGGTAACTCTGACCTAGAGCTTCTGGGACCAACAGTCTTGTCATCTGAAGGGTCCACCAATCAACTGGTTCTTCAGTGGCTTGCTTCTGCTCAGCCGATTCCTTCCGGCTGCAGTTGATAACTCTCTTTTCTCTGTTGATGGCACAGTGTCTCCATTAAAGGGCCTGGATTAAGGCCAAAAGTTCTGGAGCTGTGCCCAAATGGTGTGGTCCAGGGTGACTACCACTGCCCCTGCATATCAGGTCCCATCCTGAACGTTACTGCTCCCATCCATGAACAGTACCTTGCCGTCTGTTACCTCTGTGCAGTCATAAATGGGTTCCTCCATTATCATCTGGAAGCAGGCTGACAGGGTTGATGGTCACAGTTTTGTGAAACCGGACACAGGGCTGGTCCAGGAGAAAAGCCTGGCCCATCCAGGTTAGCTCCTGGCCCAGAGTCTGCTTATCTGCCTCCTTCACCAGCAATGCTGTGGTGGCCACTGCCTGGAAGCACGCTGGCCACCCTGCTGCCACAAGGTCCAATCTCTTAGATAGGCAACAGGTTTCTTCCAGGGACCTAGAATCTGAGTGAAAACCCCTTTGGCAATGCCTCTTATCTCACTCATGTAGAGGTGGAAGGGCTTTGCGACGTCTGGCAAGGCTAGGGCAGCTGCTGAGATGAGAGCCTTCTTTAGCTTCTCAAAGGCCCGTTGTTCCTCTTTGGACCAGTTCAACAGCTGCATTCCCCCAGTACATGTTCCTTCCGAGGACCACAGTCCTTCTTGATGTCCAAAGAAAACAGGCAGTTTGTCCGGTGGCTTCCTGGGCTGATGTAGGAGTCCTATCGGCTCTCTCAAGACTAAATAGGTTGCCCCAATGCCCATCAGGAAATTAACAGGCTTGCCTCTCCTAGCTAATCTGTCCGGATATTCTCTTTATAACTTTTATAAAAATCTTATCTTCTAAAAATACACAACTATGCCTCAAATTTTAAAGAAAAGGCAAGGGAGGAGGGAGCAGATCCAGTACCTGTTCCCAGGACTCCAGCCGCTTAAAATTTAAAATGCCACATTTTTCCTACAGATACAGATTTATCTGCATTTCTAAGCCCCCCTCTACTCCCCCCCCCCCCCCCGAACATCAGTGAAAATTGTCCAAGCAGTCGCAGGGGGTTAAATCATACAAATAATTGTTTTCACGTTGTTTTAACGCAATTCTAAATAAATTATAAACCTTTGTGATGAAGCCTACTTAAATCTATAAAGTAGACACACATGACTGAAACCAAAAGTGATTTCCAAAGTGTAAACAACCGAATGTACAAATACAAGATGCAGGTACAAGCCCAAATTCAACAACAATGGCATATGAGAAAAGCAAAACAAAACAAATTAATATGACTATCACTTTTTCTACATTAAGAGAAAAATATATGACTTGGCCTACTTCTTCACAAGAGGCACACTATAAATTCCCAACAATTTTACTTAGGTCTGTATTAAACAACCTGGATAGGGCTCAAGCATCATATAGATTCCTCATCTGACAAATGAAAATAAATCAATCCTTGAGATCTTTGATCATTACTGCTTATTCTTAACACATGTTATACAGTTTAGCCTGCCATATTCTAGGCATTTAGTTACTGCAATTAACTTTTCCTAATTCAATTTATACTTTGAACTTTTAAAGCTGGCAAGTCAAATATATTTGGCATTTTTTAGATTAATAACATTACATTTCTAATACATCCTGCTTACTTAGGGTAAAGTTTCAGCAACAGATCTGGTCACACATTTTTTCAGATCTCAAAATTTTTCCTGAAGTTCAAACAAAGCACTGAATAATCTCTTTGCAGGAGAGCTAATAGTCTTGCCCTCTCCGGCCTCCCCTAGACCTCTCCGCACCAAAGGCAGTTTACTAAGATTCAAGACAATGTCAGAAAAAAGAATGAATTTTGTTCATAGGTCAATCACAATTCATACTTAAGTAGCTATATGACTCTGCTTAGCTGATACCAATGACAAGGAAGACT